TTCACAATTTTACATATCTTTCTAAACCTCCGTGGGATAGTTAAAGTTGTGTGGCAACTTGGCTGATTCTAAGCGGTTTAACACTTATGATGTGCTCATCCTCCATGATGACATTTGCTATGAGCGTCAATCAGATGAAAGGACGTTTTCTTTGAGGTGTGGCCTGCTTCCAATATAAAGAGAAAAGCTCTGGCAAAGCTCTCTAGCTTTTTGCTTGATATACTACATCTGGCTCATCATCATCTGGACTTGAATACCTGCCATACTGCCTGCTGCCTTCACAGCCTGTGAGCCAATAATCTGTCATTTTAGCACCTGCCAATCTTGAATTCGTTCAGCTTCCAAAGCCAGTAGCCCACTGTACTACTTGCAAATCTTGGGTTGATCAGCCTCTGTAGAAACATGAGTCAGGAGGAGCTTCCACCTTGACCTCTGACCCATAGACTTGGGACCTGCCACCCTCTCTAACAGCATGAGCCATTCGCTTGAAATAAAATCCTCTCCCCACCCCCTGTGCATATAAGCTTCACTGGTTTTCCTTCCCTAGAGAGCCCAGCCTAAGACATACCATAAACCCTTTCAGATACAAATATTTCACTGTAGGTAATAGTGATGGATACATTGTATTGATTAAGGGTAGGCTTGCACAGCCTATTATTGCAATTGGTGTAAGTTGTACACCTGTAAAAATTTAAATTGGCAAAAGTTGTAAAATTGACTTGTACAACAACATAAAAACAACAGTAGCTGCTGAGGTACAACCAAAATTCTCATGAATTTGGTTCCTTGATTTGGAGGTTTAGGGTCATGGTTTCATGGAATATATAGTTAACGGGCCTAGTAATGTGTTTAGTGCTTCTGTTTTACCTCCTACTTCAATATGTAGTGCCTGGGGTGTTAAAAGCTGGCAAGTAGCATCCAAGGCACAACTGGTCTCGATTTACCTGGCATAACAGAGGAAGAAGGAAAGTCAGGAGGAATGGGAAAAGGATATGGAATACATGACTAATTTCTTCCTAGACAACTGCCTCCTTTGCCATGAAACCAAAAGATAGGTTGATGGGGCCGACCTACCAATACTGAACATTTTGGTCCAAGATTCTACACAGAAATCCTGATCAAAAGGGAAAAAATACAGTATATAATTTCAAATTCTCATGGTCTCCTAACTTCCTGGAGCCATGAAGGCTGGATGAACTCCTGAAACTACCACCCGGAGACAATCTCTAAATCTTAAACCGAAAACACCCCTTAAAGTCCTCTTAAAACAAAATAACAGTTTGGCTTAACTAGTAAAAAACACCTGGCTTGGGCATTACCATTGTTTCAGAACTATTTATATAGGATCAAACTGACAACACCAACTCGAAAAAGAAGATAGGAACTTTAAGAGGCAGTGAGTTATGTTAATGAGGGAGGAACAACCGAGAAAAGGAGGGTAAGAATGGATGTACAACTCAAAGAATGTAATCAGTTTTACTAAATAGTACATGTAGGAACTGGTGAACTGGTCTATGTTTTGCTGCGTATATTTTTAACAACTATATTAATAAAATTTTTAAAAATATGCATTTACTTGTCCTGCCACTGAGGACACAAAGTGAGTTTCAATACCTGACGCAGGAAATACCATTTTACTTTGGGCTCTCTAGAGTTCAGGTTGGGACTTGGAACGCCACACGAACAAGACAACTGAGAAAACATTTCCAACTGGGAACGCAGAGCTAGTACTAGGGCATTTGAATTCTACGCTTCCAAATGAATCCTGGTGGCAAAGTGGTTAAGAGCTTGGCTGTTAACCAAAAGGTCATCAGTTCTAACTCACAGATGTTCTGCAGGAGGAACATTTGACAGTCTGCTTCCATAGAGATTACAGCTTTGGAAACCCTATAAGGCAGTTCTGTCCTATAGGGTCACTCTGAGTCGGAATCAACTAAATAGCAATGGGTTTGGTTCAGTAGGTTATTCCAAGTCAGGTATGCTGTTAGTCTTAGATCAGGAAACACCCTAAGAGCTGGAAAAGGAACTGAAGAGCAGTAGCTACCTCTGATAGCAATGAACTCTCATATACATTAAACTGCCACTCATATGTAAAAAGTTCTAGTAAATACCCACTAAGTCTATATCTATTTATCTAATTATTATAATAAATTATATCCTATATATACTTTTCCTGATTACTGACCTGAATATTTGCCTTTCCATTCATCATGTACTGGGTTAACTTTACCTTAACACTTAAAGTAAAATACCCACTTTAGTTGAGTATCCCCTCAGTTCAGAAAGACATTATAAGTTGCAAACAGGCAACAAAACTAAAATGACTTCAAGTATATAGTAGACTCCAGGCTTTATGGGGCGAGCATCATCACCCTCAAACTCAGCACCACCAACATTAAACACTCATTAGTCACAGCAGAGGGTATTGAAAATACCAGGACTTAGGTAGGTCAGGCACACCTGAGTCTTCAAAGTGACATCTCTGCTGTTTTAACACTTTAAATTTAGAGGTCTTTTGCAGCAGATTTGCCCAGTGCAATAACATCATCTAATTTCTTGATGGCTGCTTCCATGGGCGTTGACTGTGGATGCAAGAATAATGAAATAACTGACAACTTCAATCTTTCCTCCATTTATTGTGATACTACTTACTGGTCCAGTTGTAAGGATTTGAGTTTTCTTTATGTTGAGATATAATCTATAATTAAGGCTGTAGTCTTGATCTTCCTCAGTAAGTGCTTCAAGTTATCTTCACTTTCTGCAAACAAGGTTGTGTATCACAGGCTGTTAATGAGTCTTCCTCCAATCCTGATTCCACATTCTTCTTCACATTGTTCAATTTGCTCAGTACACAGATTGAATAAGTATGGTGAAAGGATACAACACTGATGCACACTTTTCCTGATTTTTAACCATTTAAACAAGTATCACCTTGTTCTGTTCAAACAGCTGCCTCTTAGTCTTTTTAATTTTCTTATGAGCACAGTTAAGTATTTGGGATTTTCCACTCTTTGCAATGTTATCCATAATTTGTTATGATCCACACAGTCAAATGCCTTTGCATAGTCAAGAAAACACCAGTAAATATCTTTCTAGTATCCTTTGCTTTCAGCCAAGATCCAACTGACATTGATGACATCCCTCATTCCATGCCTCCTCTTGTAACTGTTTTAGAATTATTTTTAGAAAAATTTTATTTGCATGTGATACTAATATATTGTTCAGTAGTTTTTTCACTCTGTTGAATCACCTTCCTTTGGAATGGGCATAAATATGGATCTCTTCCAGTCGGTTGGCCAGATAGCTGTCTTCCAATTTTTTTTTTTAATGGAACTTTATTGAAATATAATTTATGTACAGTGAAATACACAAAACTAAATTGATATGGGTCGATGCTTTTTTTGTTGTTGTTTGCACTGTTCCCTCCCCTACCTCCCACCCCTGGCAACCAAAAAAAGAAAGTTTTCCTCCATATATAAACCTTTCCTTGACCCTCCACAACAATGAACTAATACTATACTTGTCCTAGGTGCCCTTCATTTCTCACATGCTGGCTACAAATCTGTGCATTCTTACTGCACCCTTGGTATGATCATTTACTCATAGAACTCAAGAAAGTGCTATACTTAAAATTATAGTTTTATGATAACAAAAAGGATAAAAATGAAAAAGACACAGGGTGGAGTCTATAAAGATTTCCAGCATGGAACTTCCCATGTACCAAAGGTACTACCCTCTGCACACTGATGTCTATCACCAGCCAGGAAGCTCATGGAGGTTCAGTGCCCAAAGCTTTTACTGAGGTCTCACTAAACAGTCATGACTGATTTAATCACTGCCCAAATGGTTGAACTCAACTGTTAGTTTCTTCCTTTTCTGAGGTTAGGCTGACATCACATGGTAGGCCTTTCTTGCATGGCCAGCCTCTATCCTCAACTTAATTCATAGCATAAACTCTCAAGTATGACCTGGAACCTGCATGGATAACAAAGACTCTAATCACTGGGGAATTCTAAGCTTTTAGAGGTTCTCTCAGGAATCAAAGACAAATATCAAAGTCTTTGAATAAGTTAATTCTGGGTGGCATAAATTCAACTACTAGACAGAAAGTTGGCAGTACAAATCACCCCAGAGGAACCTCAGAAAACAGGCCCAGAGGTATGTTTTCAAATGGTCACAGCTTTGGAAACCCTACGGAGTACAGTTCTACTACGCACACAGCATCACCATGAATTGGAGTCAACTCGATGGCAACTACAACAACAAAGTTAAAAAACTGTACAGCCAATCTCACATAATACACATTACAATCTCATAAAACAGAGTTAGAGCCCTGACAGCACAAACAGTTAAGTGCTTGGCTGCTAACCGGAAGGTTGGCAGTTTGAACCCACCCAGCAGCTCCACAGGAGAAAGACCTGGCAATCTGCTTCTATAAAGATTGTTGTTGTGTGCCATTGAGTCAGACCTGACTCACAGCGACCCCTTGGGTTTCCGAGACAGTATCACGACGGAAGTAGATTGCCCCATCTTCCTTCCAAGGAGTGGCTGGTGAGTTTGAACCGTCAGCCTTCTGGTTAGCAGTCAAGTGCCTTAGGCACTATGCTACCAGAGCTCCCTCCATAAAGATTACAGCAAAGAAAAACCTATGAAGCAGTTCTACTCTGTCACATGGGGTCCTGATGAATCAGAATTGACTCGATGGTACCTAACAACAATAGTATTCAAGGAGTCTAATAAAATGAGTTTATAAACACAGTTATACATTTCATGGTGAATACAGCTGTATGTTATCTATATACAACCATATATAAAAAACAGCTTGCCTAATAAATATAATACTTGTTTCATAATCGCCTTGGATACAGGCACAACCTACTTTGTACTTTAACCATAATGTGTTTACAAAATTTTCTAACACAATACAAAGAAACGGAATGAACTTAACATTAAATAACTTAAATATCATATCAAAATTACAAATCAATACAAAAACTTACCAGCCCTGTTCATTTTTATACTTGTAAGCAGCCCCAAGAATATGACATAAGGTGCCTCCAGCTTTAAAATCCATGAAGCATTTTGCCTAAAAGAATACAAGATACACAGGAGAAAAAAAAAAGTTACTGACAAAAAAAATCTGAATTCTGAGTTTTATAAACACAAATACAACAACTGCTACTTTAGAAACTTCCACAAATATTTTCTGGAATGAATTGAGATATAAAGACATTTTTCTGAAAGTTGATAAAAAATACTTCTTTTAAAATTCCACAACATTACTATTTTTTAAACATTATTCTTTAAGAAAAGTCTTTGAGAAACAACATTTACAAAAGATGGATCAAAATGTTTAAACAAGAAACACTAGTTGACAAAACAGTGATCTAATATAAACGTCATGGGTAAATTTAAAATCTGTTTCTTAAAATGTTTAAAATTCCAGTCACACACAATTTCTAATATAGTTTTCCTGTAAAACAAGAAATATTTGTATACCAATAATTTCTTTTCCCCATTTAGGTTCCTGGCTTTAAATTACAGAAAAACTTAAACAAAATTTTTGTTATTAAAATACTTATGCTGAATGACTTCCATATTACAAAGTAAAAGGAATTTAAACTAAGCAACAAACAGGCTAATAAGCAAAATGAAGTGTTAGAAACACACCAGGCACTTATTTTCTTAAAAAAAAAAAGAACAGACTTGAAAGAACTACGTAACAAATATTAAGAATCACTAAAATGAAAAAGGTTGCTATTTTAAGACCAGGGCTGGAGGTAGGTGGGCACATGGCTTCCGGCCTGCTTTTCATTTGGGGGCACCTCTATTTTAAGGCTGCAGTCCAAGGGAGGCAGGTGCGGGGCTCGGGAGCTGCTTTTCTCTTGGAGGCGGATCTCTTTTAAGGGTGGGCCCCGAGGTAGGCAGGTGCAGAAGGGTTAGGAACAACTAAGGGAGACTAACTTGTCTGTCAGTTTGTTGTCCTGTGGTGCCTTATGTGTTGCTGCGAGGCTGGAGCCTATGCCACCAGTGTAAAATGCCAGCAAGGTTACCCATGGTGGACAGGTTTCAGTGGAGCTTTCAGGCGAAGACAGACTCAGAAGAAGGAAGAGGCCATCCTCTTCTCAAACAATTGGCCAGTGAAAACCTTATGAATAGCAGTGAAACACTGATATATTACTGGAAAAGTTTACAAACAGCCCTGAAACATTATGATATAATGCCAGAAGGTGAGCCCATCAGGTCAGAAGGCACTCAAAATTTGACTAGGGATGAGCTGACTCCTCAGAGTAGAGACGACCTTAACAATATGGATAGAGTAAAGCTTTCAGGATCTCCACTGCCTGATATGGCATGACTCAAAATGAGAAGAAACAGATGCAAATATCCATTAATAACTGGAACATGGAAAGTATGAAGTATGAATCAAGGAAAACTGAAAGTCATCAAAAATGAAATGGAACACATAAAGATTGATATCCTAGGCATTAGTGGGCTGAAATGGACTGGTTTTGGCCATTCTGAATCACACAACCATATGATCTACTATACTGGGAATGACAAATTGAAGAGGAATGGAGTGGTATTCATTTTCACAAAGGCTATTTCAAGATCTACCCTGAAGTACAACACTGTCAGTGACAGGATAATACCCATATGCTTACCAGGAAGATCAGTTAATACTACTATTATTCAAATCTATGAACCAACCACCAAAGCCAAAGATGAGGAAATTGGAAGATTTCTACCAACTTCTAAAGACTGAAATTGAATGACATGCAATTAAGATGTGTCGATTATCACTGGTGATTGGATTGCAAAAGTTGGAAACAAAGAAGAGTTACCAATAATTAGAAAACATGGCCTTGGTGACAGAAATAACGCTAGAGTGGATCTCAAAACCTACTATATAGCTACAGTAGTCAAAACTGCCTGGTATTGGTACAATGACAGATATATAGACCAATGGAATAGAATTTAGAACCCAGAAATAGATCCAATGACCTATGGTCAGCTGATCTTCAACAAAGAGCCGAAATCCATTAAATGGGGAAGAGAATGTTTGTTTAATAAATGGTGCTGGCAAAACTGGAGATCCATTTGCAGAAAAATAAAACAAGATCTGTACCTCACACCCTACACAAAAACTAACGCCAGATGGATCAAAGACTTAAATGTGAAACCTAAAACTATAGAGTTCTTCAAGGAAAAACTAGGGGCAAATTTAGAGGCCCTAATATATGGCATAAATAGACTATCAAGCATAACCCAAAACGCACAAACAGCAGAAGAGAAAGTAGATGAATGGGACCATCTTAAAACTAAATTTTTATGTGCTTCCAAAGACTTCTCCAAAAGAGTCAAAAGAGAACCTACAGATTGGGAAAGAATATTCGGCAATGATGTATCTGACAAGGGACTTATCTCTAGAATTTATAGGAAACTCCAACACCTCAATAACAAAAAGACAAATAACCCAATTAAAATTGGGCAAAAGACATGAATAGACACTTCACCAAGGAGGATATTCAGGCAGCCAACAAACATATGAAGAAATACTCACGATCATTAGTCATTAAAGAAATGTAAATCAAAACAACGAGATACCATCTTACCCCAGGACTAGTAGCAAAGTTCAATGAGACAGGAAGTAACAAATGCTGGTGAGGATGTGAAGAGACTGGGACTCTCGTACACTGCTGGCAGGAGTGTCAAATGGTACAACCACTATGGAAAGCAGTATGGCAATTCCTTAAAATGTTACAATTAGAAACACCATTTGATCCAGCCATTCCATTACTAGGTATATATCTTAAAGAAGTGAGAGCCATAACAAGAACAGACATATGCACACCCATGTTCATCACAGCACTATTTACAATAGCCAAAAGATGGAAATGACCTAGGTGCCCATCAAGTGAGGACTGGATAACCAAACTATGGTACATACACACAATGGAATCCTTTCAACCCTAAAGAATGATGCAGAATCTGTAAAACACCGCATAATATGGATGAACTTGGAGAACATTATCCTAAGTGAAATAAGTCAATCACAGAAGGACAAATATTGTATTAGTCCGTTATTATAAAAGTCAAAGAAAGGCTTATTTATGGAAGGAAATTTTCTTTGTTGGTTACCAGGGATGCGAGGGGAGGGGAGGGAACACTGTTATATATGTAGAGACAAGTATTGATTTGGGTGAAGAGAAGGACAATGTACCAAATGTGAGTAATCAACATGGTGGCACTGAGGAAGAGGAATACAAAAGAAAAGTACATGGGAGGTACAGACAACAAAGAAGAACCCTTCTGCACATACAGTACTGCATTGCCAGTGAAAGCAAACATGGGTATATGGGTAGATAAATGGATGGACAGCCTGAACTATTAGGTATATCTATGAAGAGGGGAGTGTACCGAAGACCATGTATAGAGTTGGCAGACAATGGTCCTAACAAGTGTATTTGTATGATCTGTAAGAATTCCCAGGCATACAGTAGAGCTGACAAGGGACAAGGTTATAGTCACTTCTTGGTCACAGCCAGCTACCCAGAGGGGCAGAGTACTTGAACCGGTGGGCTCAGGACCATAGTTGAAGAGGACATCAAGGTCAACTGGCATAACATACTACACAAACATTGTTCCACCTCCTACTGTGGTGAGTAGCGACTGGTATCTTAAAAACCTGCAAGCAGCCACCTAGATGCAACAAAGGGTCTCCTCTGTACATAGATCAGGAGGTTGTCATTCAAACAAACAAGGGGATATTGCATGATTCAAAATCAAGAAAGGAGTGTGTCAAGGTTGTATACTTTCACTATACTTATTCAACTTGTATGCTGAGCAAATAATCCGAGAGGCCGGATTATATGAAGAAGAACGTAACAGCACTGGAGGAAGAATCATTAACAGCCTACCATACATTGATGACACAACTTTGCTGGCTGCAAGTGAATATGACTTGAAGCACTTACTGATGAAGATTAAAGATTATAGTCTGCAGTATGGATTATACCTCAATATAAACAAAACAAAAATCCCCATAACTGGTCCAAAAAACAGCTTCATGTTGGATGGAGAAAAGACTGAAGTTGTCAAGGACTTTAAATTACTTGGTTCTACAACCCAATGGAAGCAGCAGTCAAGACATCAGATGATGTATTGCACTGGGCGAATCTGCTGCAAAAACCTCTTTCAAGTGATGAAGAGAAAAGATATCTTCTTGAAGACTAAGATGTGCCCAATCCAAGCCATGGTATTTTCAATTGCCTCTTACGCATGTGACAACTGGAAAATGAGTAAGTTGATGCTTTTGAGTTGGGGTGTTGGAGAAGAATGCTAAGAGTACCACAGTCTACTAAAAGGACTGGAAGAAGTTCAGCCAGAATGCTCCTTGAATGTGAGAATGGCCAGACTTTGTCTCACCTACTTTGGTCATGTTGTCAGAAGGAACCAATCGCTGGAGAAGGATAACACGTTTGGTAAAATGGAGGGTCAACAAAGAAGGAGAAGGCCCTCAATGAGATGGATTGACATAGTGGCTGCAAAGATGAGCCAGATATAGCAAGGACCGTATGGCTGGCACAGGACTGGGCAGTGTTTCATTCTGCTGTGCATAGGGTCACTATGAGTTGGAGACAACGCAACTGCACCCAACAAAAACAACAACAACAAGATGGGTACCGTCAAGTTGTTTCTGACTCATATCAACCCCTCCTTGGGTTTCCGAGGCGGTATCTCTATGGAAACATATTGCCCAATCTTCCTTCCGAGGAGTGGCTGGTGGGTTTGAACCACTAGTCTTCTAATTAGCAGTCAAATGCCTTAGGCCCTACACCACCAGAGCTCCCTTCCATCAACTACTAAAACGATAAATAAATTGTTTAGTCGTAAAACAGAGTATTAATCTACAATACAAAGGAAGAAATTATACATGGAATAACACAGATATATCTCAAAATCATTACGCTGAGTAAAAAAAGCCAGACAAAAAGGAATATACAGGTAGTCCCTGACCTACAATAGAGTTCCCTTGCAACGATTCCATCCTAAGTCAGTTCTGACACAAGCTGAAGATTTCTT